AGCTAAATTTTTTGAATATATCTCGTGAATTGTAAAAGTTTTCCATACACGGACTTAGCCTTGATCGCACAGTTCGCATGACAGCTATGTGTTAAATTTGTCTGATTTGAACAATTTTTTTCGAAAATTGTAGTGCTACTTAAGGAAATAATTTATGCTAAATTTCGTTAAGATACTTAGTCTTATAAACAAATTTTTCATACAAAAACTTTACCTTGATCGTTCAGTTTGTATGGCAGCTATAAGCTACAGTTATCTGATATAAAGAATTTCTTCGGAGATTGTAGCCATGTCTGAGATTATGGTTTGAGCGAAATTTTGTGAAAATCCTTTATCATGTAAAGTATGCAGAAGCACCTGAGGTGGATAGTTCAGTTTGTATGACAGCTATGTGATGTAGTTTTCCGATCTGAACAATTTCTTATAAGATTTTAGCGCTGTTTAAGATTGTAACCTATGCAAAATTTCGTGAAGAAACTTTGTGAAATAAAAAAGTTTTTCATACAACTAAAGGAACTAAAGGAAGTTGTCGTCACTGCAGTAAGCGGCAACAGTTGGGAAGGTGGTATAAAAAAGATTATGCGCTGATTATCCTGAATGTGAAGAACTGATATACGACAACAACGAAGGCACCAAGAGCTACCCTATTACAAGTGCAGTACTACAAGTTTCAGTATTAAGCCCTCTTTTATGGACTCTCATGTGTGATGGGGTGCTAAGAATACCAGAACCGAAAAACGTTAAGCTCATCGCAGAGTATAATAATGGTATATACAGTCTGCGCCAATGCTTTTCTTCCATGAGTTTGGAACTGGCTGAGCACAAAAAAGAAGTATTTCTCTTAAGCGCCAGTAAAATTGCGGAAAAAATAACTCTCACTATAGGATAATGTACGATAACTTCACAGTCACAGTTGAGGTACTTAGGGGTAATATTACATCCTAACTGAAATTCAAGGAGCACTTGGCTTACACATATGATAAAGCAAATAAGATTTACAATGCCTTATAAAGAATGATGGCAAAAATAAACTGTGTGCGCTCCAGCCATCGATTTCTAATCGCAAAAGCGCTGAACTCAATAAAACTATAAGTTCGCGAAGCGGGAACTTCCATCATGACGAAATTAAGACAGTTACAGAAGAAAGGGCGGCAGTCCGTGCGTGCTATAGAGGAGACGTAAAATGTCTTGTCACTCTCACGAAGTAATACCATATCTGGTGGATCCGTGGAAGAGTCTTGAGTTTGGAGTAGGTTAGATTTAGCGGATTAAAGTTCGGGACACCGGCTTTCGATGCTTACCCCTACTTCTACATAAGTATGTATGTTAATAAGAAGAACTATAATGCGAAATGTGACAAATGTAAGGGAAAATTTTGGATGATAGTGAAAATTTTCACTTTAAAAATCTAAAAATGATGGTTGAATATGTCGAACAGAGACAAGTTGCAAGTGTTTAGCAAAAAATTTTAAAATTTGCTGCCACAAATTGATAATTAAATTTAGAGTTTTCCTGTTCTTGAAAGTACTAAAATCACAAAGCAAAAACACCCACTCAAATTATTTATTTATTATAAAGCCTCGAGGACATTTTAAAATTCTTTTGTTATTTAATTTGGACTTTGGCTTCAAATTATTTTTACTGTCTGTATACTATGTGATAATAACAGCTGATGACAAAGGAGTGTATACATGTACATATGTTGGTGTGTATACATATATGTAAGTATGTATGCATATCTATATCAATGCCACTATGTCTCACACAATTCCCATATGTGTTCGCAGTGTGCGCTACAATGAGCTTTTAATAATTTCAGACAACAAACGTGCGCCTTCATCAAACATTAAGCAAATATTGACATGCTTGCGACGGGGGCGTATACGTAACCTGCTTTGAAGTGCAGCACAGGCAAGTAAAATCATACAAGTGTAGCTCAAGGCATAAATTTAAGTATTTCCTATTAGCTTTAAATTTTGACATTTATACATTTATACATACATACATTTATACATACATACACATATATAGTATATATATTAATGCGTAAATATTTACTTATGTACAAACTTAATTATCTTTTCCACTTTTATAATTCCTTAAGTAAACAACAACAACCAAATCGCTTTCATTTCTAAATTTACAACATGAATTATGCTCAGTTAATACTTTTATGCCATTAAATAAGCGTTGAGTTTTATGTTATGGCACTCAGCGCTGCGGTGACATTTTCTTCAACGCTTTCATTTAACTTTTATCGATTTTTTGCCAACACCAGCATCACACCGCACTCGCACCGCGCTCAGCCCGCAATTAATGTTGAGTAGCTAAAGCATAAATATTGTGCTTTAATGAGCGCATGAATGCGAAATAACAAGAAAAAAATTATAAAAATTATAATGAGCAGGAAATTCATGTTGAAGGTTGCCATGCTTCCGTGCGCCTAATTCGCTGCTGGTTTTCCAAGTGAGCGGTTAGCAGGTGATGTGAAAAGTTTTTAAACACTCATTTTGTCGTAGTTTTTGTGATTTTATATTCTTATAATTCACCACGGACACCGGCCAGATTGAGTAGTGAGAATTTAAAGTGAATTGGAGGCCTTTAGTTTGAGTGGAGATTTCTAGAAATGCTATTGAAGTCGTGATAAAAACTATATATTTATGGGTACATGTATATAACCATCAAAATTAATGGACATATGTTTAGGAAAAGGAAAAAATTTGAAATTTTTGTTTACGTAGTGACAATATGAAAATATAGGAGCTAAATTACGGTTGATTTGAATAACACATAGAATCAGCTAAATTCCAAATAACGTAACATCAATTTTAATAAGTTTACAGGCGAAGAAAAAACGATATTATGGAAACCACTGTCATCTAAAAAAAAGTTGAGCTTTGGTTGCAAAATGGTATTGAATTGGTTATATATTGGTTATAAAATGGTTATATATTAGTTCTATCTCAGCGGACTCTGAAAATTTTATGCTACATATACGTAATATCATGCAGTTAATCGTAAGCAACAAAAAACCAATTTTTAAATTTTTTAATGGTAAGTTGTTTTGAATTTCGGGTGACGATATGTAATAATTTATATGCCTTTAGGTGCTAAAATATTCTTTGTATCCCCTTTTTTCCAAAAAAAAAAATTGTATTTTAAATTGAAGGCTTCATAAGGAGCTTAAAATTAATATGAAATATTATTTCTAAGGTGAAAAAATTCTTAAGGGACTAGGTTTCAGTGCCGCCTCAAGTGAATTGCTGCACTCTCAACACCTATTTTCAATATGAGAGAAAACATGATTTGCTTAAATGTTTAGAAATTCCTAAAGATTTTTAATAATAATATTCTAACAATATCATTCTCTCTAATGAAAAGACTTCTTATTGTGCACATTTCAAGTCTTATATACATTTTAGGAGCTTTCAACTACAAAAAAGTTCTTTAATTATAAAAAATATGTTTTATTAAAAAATAGTTATTTTTTTGAAATTTTTAAAGAATAAAAACAAAATAATAATATGAACAAATTTCAACAGGACTCAAAAAAATTTTTATAGTTTAGTACAAATATTTATTTTTGCCTTAGAAAAAGACTTCTAATGCAATACAAGAATGCTAAAGTTAAGGTCTTATAATAAGTTTCGGCTGGAATTTTTTTTTTGTTTTTTTTTTTGCTTTGAGAGCTTTTAATGAGTCTCACCTGGAATTGCTCTTAGAAATTTTGTTGTTAAATGTCAACCAAAAATGTTCCACCCAGCTAAAATTGAGCATAAGGTTTCTTTTATTGGGTCATATATTTTTCTGACAGAATTATTGTGGAAAAGGCATAACAAACAAACGGTGGACGGCAGTTACAATACGCTTCACAAATGCAATATATTTCATATGAGAACTTGATTTTTATCGAACAGTTCACAGTGTAGCTCTATGCTATAGTAATCCGATTTAATTAATTTTTGCGGAAATTATAGCATAGCTTTGGTTAATTATATATGTCAAATTTCAAGAAGATATGTTATGAAATAAAAAAGCTGTCCTTCACGACCTTGATTTTAGTTGGTCGCTTTGTATGGGAGCTATACACTGTAGTTGTCCAATCTCAACAATTTTTTGGGAGATTATAGAATTGCCCTGGAAAATAACGCTTTCCAAATTTCGCGAAGATTTGTCGTCAAATGAAAAAGTTTTCCATACAATAACTTGATTTTGATTGGTCAGTTTGTATTGCAGCTATATGCTAAAGTAATCCGATTTAAATAATTTTTTCTGAGATTATAGCACTGCTAGGAGTAACAATGTATACTAAATTTCGTTAAGATAGCTTGTGAAATGTAAGAGCGTTCCATACACGAACTTTATTTTGATTGGTCAGTTTGTATGACAGCTATATACAAATAAACTAATTCGAGAAGAGAAAAGAACACGTGCAAAATTTTATAGCGATAGCTGAAAACTAAATAACTAGTTCGTCTATATACATATACACATGTCAGACCTGACTGCATCAGCTCAGCTCATGCTGATAATTTATATATGTATATATGTATATATTTTAAAGGGTCTCTGACATTGCCTACGGGCTTTTGTAGACACCATGATTTTAATATACATTATTTTGGGGTTAAAAACATGGTAATTATTAAAAGTCATTATCTGAAGACTCTTTAAAGAAAACAGGCTGGACAAAGTGAATTGCGTATCGCCTCTTAATAGAAAAACAAAAAAAAAAAAAAAAAAAAAAAAAAAAACAAAAACAAAAAAAAAAAAAATGAGAATGATCCTTCTCAAAGGCCTAGCTAAATTTTACATAAATTTTAATATTCACCATACAGAAAACTTTAACTCTAACGCTGATCCAAAATAAAAAGAGGATATTTTCCTCGGAGCCATTTGCATTACTAAACAAAATATATGTATATACAAAATTTAAATAAAACAGAATATTTCATTACATATTTGAATTAAATTTCCTTGCTTTACAATTTCAAACTCACCTGCATGAAAATCACTGCTGTCCTCGGGCCGTGTCCTTGCTTTTGTTGTCAAACAGCATACAAAGCAAATACAAAATAACAGCACAATATGTCAAACATGTCAATGTAGATAGATGTCTGCTCATGATTGCAGTGGCATGAGTTATGTAAAAATTCTGCACTTTTATATGAAAGCACACACAGACAGCTGAAATGAAGTTTAACTTTTACAAAACACCACGATTTACTGATACAAGTTTGTATGTAACGGTATTTGTATTAGACAGTTTCACTCGCTTGTTTCTTTCACGCACTTTATCATTTTTTGCCGCACATTTCGCATTTCTTTAGTTTAGTTTAATTTTTTCGTGCAATATTTTGGACTTTGTGCATTATTTTTTGTTGTTATTACACATACTTTCATATTTGATTTAAGAAATTGCGCCTAGAGCAGTGCCAGCTTTCCTGTTGAATGAGAAGAAAGAAAGTATGTTAGTAAGTGGTTTGGTGACTTTTTAGGTATTTAAAAAGTTGAGTTAAATATTTGAATGAAAGATAGTACCGTGGTAGTTTTGTGTTAACTAAAATACCAA